AAGAAGGATGGCGCTTCCTTTACAGTGAAATTAAGACTGCGAGGCAAGAAGGAAATATTTTATTCATCACTTTTAAGTTTCTCTGAATCCTACAGAAAAATGTTTTCAAAAAGGCTACATAATCCACAGATTAATAAGTGCTCTTTGGAAATAAGATTTTGTGGCAGAAAATTTACTTAAACTAATTTCCAATACTGAATATGCATTTGTCAAGTCTTGTAACTGATACAACAGTATTCACTAACGCTTCACACAACTGTTTTTCAGACAGAGGGGTGTGATCTGGTCAGTCAGCAGTAAGAATAGGTTGACAAGTAAGTGGGAAGTTTTTATGCTTATTTGTCATAAATTTGCTCCTATTTTATTGACATTCTTCAGATCTCTGAATCACAGTTCTAAAGAGAACAGGCACAGCAGAACAAGAAAACCTCAATAAATTGGATACAGTAAAAAACAAACCCTGCACCATTTAAAACAACCTTCTTATTGCAGTTACTATCTCTCAGAGCACCACCTGTTTTCTCTTCTTTCTTTTCCATTTAAAATCCTGGTACAAGTCAAATTCCCTTAAAATTGGTCATATAACAGAAGAAAATAAGCACATTCTTTTAATTGGTGCCATCCACATGTTTCTCTGCCATCTTAAGAGATGTTAACATGCAATGTTTCATCAAATTTTACACAAAAACCATTGTGGCATTTGAGAAACATCCTTTTTTTTATGAAGTGGTCTTTGCACACATGGTTAACAATTTTGTTAAACTGATCTAAATTTTATGATACATCCATATGTTGTGCTACTTCTAGGGTGAACCTTTTGCTTTTTTTAAAAAAGCTCCCAGGTTATAATTTGTAACAGCATTACAATTTGTACTGCTTTTCCCCTCCTAATAAAATGCTGGTTTGTTTTGCGATGTAAAAAGTATTTCAAAAGATGTAAATAAGTTAGAAATCAAACACAGTATTAATTAGTTTTAAGATATTAAATTTATGCTAAAGCTTCCAAAGCACAAATGCATATTTTTGTACATCTCATTTTAATCACATGCAGAACATAAGTTCAAATTTTAGAATATTCTCAGACTATTCAGCCAATAAATACTAAGAGAACTGCTCATTTTTAACACTGTGCACTCCAGGCTGGAGGCAAGAGCATCAAAACTGTGGCTACAGCTGAAGTAGCAGTCCACTAATCATCAAAAGGAAAGGTCTTGAAACATGCTCTTTACCTCCCCTGTGTTGTATCAAGAACTGAACCTGGTAAAGGAAAAAAAACAAACCACAAACAAGCCAAACAGTTTAGATCGCTGTGGAAGAAAAGTGACAATGACTGTCTACTGAAAGTAGCTTACATAATGTGCCAACCTTTTTTGTATGTTTTGTATCAAGTTCTGAAACAAAAGGAAACATTCATAAAATGTATGTGCAGAGAAATGTACATAAGCTATATTTTTGTTAGAATTGTAATAGAACATTACTTTTGTCATAGCTAAGGCAGGCTGCTGTGTATTAAAATGCTGCATTGTGTATATTTGAAAAATATGGTGTTTCTGGTGAAATATGTTTACTCATTCTTTCTTACTATCTATTGCAACATTCTTCAATGGATTTTTATTCAGATAAGTTGAACCTTTTTTTTTTGTTTGTTTTTTTAATAGTGTAAAACTGTTTGCTTTTACCATTCCTTTATTGAGTACTAGTACCCTCACTGGTTGTACCTGACCTGTTCTGATGACAGAATGCTCACTGCAGCTTGCATTAGAGAAAAGAATTTCACAAGATTCAAAGCTCTGTCATCCTAATTTAATTTGCTAAATACAGCAACACTGTAAGACCACAGCCATGTAAAACACTTCATTATTTTTGTCACACTTCTGTCACAAGGAAGAAAATGTGAATGGTGGAAGGATCCTAAGAAATAAAGTTCAGCCCCAATTCTGGCTCACAAATTAAGGCATTAATGTGGAATCAGTATATTTCTTGCAAGATCCTGTGTTTTTTCCCCACAGTCAGAGACTAAGCAAAAAAAGTCCTTTGTGTAAAGATATGTCCTGTTTAAGAGCAAAAGAAATCAGCATAGATTAATCATCATCTGCCAGTTGCATCAGATCTCCTGGACTCTAACCTGTGCAGTTGACTAACTGCTAGTTTCATTGTCAGTGCACAGATACATAAAACAGCGGCCTCAGAGTTCTGCAAGTATTAAGGGTGGGTCTGAAAGAGATATTTACTTTCATTATGTGAACATAGGGAATTCTGCCTCACTGTTAGGTAGAAAAAGAAACTTAAAAGGACACAAGGTGTAAGTAAAATTTCTAATCTGATCAGCCTGTCAGTGCTGCTCACAGCACTTCCCAACAGTAAGTGACAAACTCTTGCTTAACAGGAGTGGGATAGTATAGCTTTACTGTGTTCACTGTTATGCTCAAAGTTCACGTGTAAAACAAAGAACTCAATTTAGTACTTTCAACTCAACCATCTTTAAAGAAGAGACCCTTGGGAGATCTATTACCAATGGAGTGTATCTGACAACAACAGCACTTTTGATGTGTTTATACATGCATGCAGGTAGGACTATTTAAGGCTAAATTACACCCTGTAAAATGCACAGTAAGTCTTGTGACTAGAACTGTTCTGTTAAACAGGTCTGTTTCTCTACCAGGCAGTCACTTAAAAGCAGTCACATAAAAATGAAATAGTTGTTCTCATGATACAGGAAGAAGAAATAATAAAAAGATGTTCCTCCTCTCTCATTACAACTGATGATAGCAGTAGCCTCTCCACAAAAACCTAAGTTATACAAGCTTTTGCTCTGAAGTTCTAGTAACAATGTATAAACACACACTTTATATACAACTCAACAGTTATTTCCCAATTGAAAGGAGGAAAAAGAGCCAAAGAGAAATTGATCTCCCTAGCTTGTACTGGGGTAGCCAAATGCAAAGGTTCCCCTTTAAGGATGATGTTCTTCTTAAGAAGCTACGTTTTCAAGCAATTTACAATTTAAGCT